TGGTAAAAGTCATTAAATTCTTTTATAAATACAATAATTCACAACCGCACCATTATTTAGTGCAGGTATCACATGACTCAGACATTCTACAACTGACTGAAGTCAAGGCACTCTCATATCAAGCTGTAAAATGGGAACCACTCAAAAGGAGGAAGATTATGCAGTGCAAAAACTGTCAAAGATTAGAGCATTCTAGTAGTAATTGTGCCCTTAAGTACAGATGTGTAAAGTGCACTAATGATCATAGCAGAGGTGAATGTCCTATTAAAAGAAGAGACTAGTAAGGAGTCACTTAACTGTGTTAATTGTGGCAACAGTGGTCACCCTGCATCATACAAAGGCTGCCCTCATATTCAGTTATATGCTGGGCTGAAAGATGAAAAAATACAAATAAATAGTAAAAACAAAATAGTAACTAAACCTAAAAAACAACCAAACACAAAATTGCTGATCTTAAACCAATAATTCCTGGAGTATCATATGCGAATATTGTCAATACAGGTCCGAACACAAGTAAATGGGAGAATTTAGGAAGCCAAGCGGCCAATGAGAAAACTTTTTTCCTAAAATTAATAGATATTTAAGGAAAAAACGCCAAATCTCTATAGAATCACTCAAGATTAGCAAACAAGAGGATGACAGACTTATCAAAAGAGCTAAAATCAACGAAACAGATCACCAAACGGAAAAAGGGAATATTATTATTTGTGATGAAGCTAGTAAGCTGAATATGATTGGCGCAGTCTTTGAAGAAATAAACTCCCCTAAGTTACTAAATAGTGGCCAACGACTTACGGACATCATTAATAGTAAAGTTAGCCCCTTGTTAGTACGATATGATGAAATACTGGAAAATGGAAATACAGTTACCAGCTTCAATGAAGAATGTAAAGCAGACGACCGAGGTACACTCTGCTCAGGGGGGTACAAATTATTCACAGATTTTTATGAAGTATATGGGATCATCAAAAAGCTTTCAAATAAGACGTCAACTGGGATTGACAATATCCCGCCAATTGTCATAAAGAACCTACCAGATAATATAATAAGAGCAATTACAGTCATTTTCAATCATGCAATTAATTGCTGGTACTTTCCTGACGGCTGGAAAACAGCTAAATTGCTGCCACTATTAAAACCAGGTAAAGATGCTTCTGAGTCCAGAAGTTACCGCCCAATCAGCCTCACACCCTCGCTAAGCAAGGTATTTGAGGTTATCATCAATATACCTTGTTTCCCTGTCCTGAGAAGGACATTTTGTTTGAGTACCTCGCCTTATAGGGCATAACTCTGGGGATAACTCTACTTCTAGTGACGGCGTTACTTGGGACGTGATATAATTGCGCCTTTATAAAGGCACGAGGATACACGCATCTAGCCCAAGGCCTTACGACATACCACTACGAGTTCAACCTCAATTGACCGAAAACACCCGGCTCTCTGCATATCGTTTTTCGACTTTGCAGCTCCGGATGCGGGCTTGGATTTCAGTCTCCCGTAGTACCAGTTTTATCCGCTTTGGTCGGCGGCCCCAGTTGTTTTTGGTGTGAGGGGAGCACCGTTATATTGTCAACAGCTGAAAGAGGAAAATGGTTAGTTTTTGATGTTTCCTGAAATATTAAAGTTTATTATTATTATTGTTTGTTTTAAGTTTTGAGTTTAAAGTTTAAAGTTACAGTTTAAATGTTTGTTGAGCATTGTTAGGTGAGAATCCCTATCCGTTTGATCCACAGGTTTCAGGTGTTCTGCGAAGATTGCAGGCCTGCAACCTGTGCCTAGGTGCTCCGACAACACCCAGGTGTGGATCAATGAAGTTCACGAGCTATGTTTTCTTACGGCGCTGGTAATGGTAATGACCTACTACTTCTGCGGGGTGGAGGGTTCTGTGTACTCTGTGTGCTGGACATTGCCACTCCAGTTCGCGCTACCTTCCTTTTCTCTCTTACCGCATTGCGGATTCTTATAACTTCCTCGAACAATTTTTGTTCCCCGCAGAACTTGACAAATTGTTCGAGGGCCCTACATGTGTCCTTCGTTTGGACAAATTTCGGCGCTCTTTCAGACCATGTTGATCTGAGGTCAACATTCGTTTCCGATTGTATGACCGCCATGAGGCTCGTGCGTCTGTCTCTATATGCGGGACAGTGCAGCAGGAAGTGCTCCACTGTGTCCTCATCTCCCCTATTGCAATTAGGGCAGGTTGGGTCTGCTTCGGTGGCGTATTGTGCACGGTGTGCTCGGAATATACCATGTCCTGTGAATATTGGCGTCATTATATTGTTCAGGCGTATCCACTGGTTATCGAGCCTGTCTGCTATGTTCGGGAAGAAGTGATATGTTTTGCGGCCCGTCTCAGATGCATCCCATTCTGCCTGCCATATTTTGGTCGTCTGCAATCTGAGGTTCATAATCGGCGTCGTCGTCTCCCCTGACGTATTGTCATTTAGGGAGATTCTAGTGCCGTTGTACGTTACTACTTCATCGGTGCGAAGTGTATATCGCGCGTTGAGATCATTAATCGCTATGCGTATAGGCGGGACGCCCACCGCCACGCAGAGGCCGTCTCTCGGAGTGGATGCGCGAGCATGCGCCACAACTCCCAAGACGCTCCTTTGTGCGGCCGCAAGCGTCAGCCAGTCCTTAGCATTGCACAAGTCGCTCCATGTCGCGTAAGCAATCACCGGCAGGAAGCACCTCCTATATAGGGTTAGACAGGTCTGGTAATTAAGTCCCCATCGCATTCGCGAAAGGCGCCTTATTTTCTGGAATAACTTTTCCGCTTGCGCCCATCGTTTATGGATATGCATGGAGATGTTAAGATCTCTGCCGAACCAGACCCCCAAGTACTTAACCGTTTCTGGGTATTTTATCCTGTTGCCATCTATTGTAATCTTAGGCGGTTTGCATTCATGCCTATCTTTCTTTCTTCTTAGGTGTGGCTTATATTCTCTGTAGTTGGGATTGTTTTTATCTCTGTAGTTCCTCTTGCCTCTGAGTTTTACTTCTCTCTTCATGAAGATTGCTTCCGTCTTCGTTTTTGACAGCTCGAGCTTGGCATTCTTGCACCAATTGAGTATTGTGTCAACAACTGCCTGTCCTTTGGCTTCAAGTGCCTCCCTTGAATTGCCATCAATGATGACGATTAGATCGTCTGCGTATGCTGCGTATCGTTTTCCATGTTCGGACTGATCAAGTGTTTTTAGGAGATCATCGAACATGATGTTCCAACACAGTGGGCCGAGCACAGATCCCTGGGGGCATCCACGCGTGGCCACTTTTGTGGTTGAGCCAGTTCCCCTTGATAGGCTAACTGTGCGATCTTTCAAGTAATTTTGCATTACCTTGTAGATATTTTTGGGGCAGTTTCGTGACTTTAGTCCCTCGAGGACTAAGGGCCACCATACATTATCAAACGCGCCTGAGATATCGAAGAGCAGTGCAACCACATTACGTTCCGTGGACTCTTGCACCGCTCTTCGCACCGTCAGTATCGCGTCCACAGTTAATCGTCCTTCCATAAATCCATACTGGTGATCAGAAATGTTTCCTTGTTTAAGGACGCTAGCTGAAAGACGAATTTTTATAAGTCTTTCGAAGATTTTGCCTAGTACTGATAAAAGGCATGTAGGGCGGTATGATTTAGGGTCCGCCACATCTTTGTCGGGACTCTTCAGGAGCATACGAATTGTACCCTCCTTCCAAGCCCGAGGGAAGATACCTTGATTTAAGCATTCGTTGAATAGTGCCAGAAATCTTTCTGGGAGGTACGTGATTGCGCGTTTAACGGCCTCCACTTCTAGCAAGTCTAGTCCTGGAGCTTTTCCGTTCTTAAGCGTTCGGACGACTTGCTTCAGTTCTTCTTTGTTGAATGGTTCTGCATCCTCTGTGTTGGGTAGGTTGAGAGCGTTTTTCTTTAATCTGCTCTGTTCATCTGTGTCTTTTTCCGGGTGGTCGTTGACTACATGTACTGCCAGCAATCGCTCGGCTGTTTCCTTGAAGTCCAAGGTCTCGCCGCCTTCTTTAGTGCGGAGCGCATTCATGACCTTTTCGGCTTGAATCTTATCGGCCGCAAGTTTGTATACTACGCCCCACTTTTCCTCGTTTCCGTGGGTTGTAACAAACTTCTTCCAGCTGTCTGTCTTCGCTCTTTTGATTTCTCTGGAGTACATCCTTACCTGCTGGCGGTATCGGAGTCTCGCCGTCGAGATTCGGTGGGCGTTCGTACCAAGCTTCTTGGTACGTTGGAATCTATGGCGTAATCTGTAAACGCTGCGCTTCAGGCAGGATAGGTGGCTATTCCACCAAGGATTCGCTTTCCTTGGTGCTTTACGTCGTGGCATGGATTTTTCACAAATGTCCGTTAACTCATCTGCGAGAGATTGACAGCGAATCTGTCAATGTTCATCGGAGAGTCCAGCAGTGGTCCAGCGGAAAGTGTGCTCTCTAGCTCGGGTATCAGCTTTCCAAAGGCTTCCCAATCGGTTGCTTTGACATTGAACCGTCGGGTTGCCTCTGTGTAAGTTGCACCCTGCACTTCGCTTCGACCAAGCTGGATTCCGATGGCCATATGGTCCGATTCCTGAACCCACTCTCTCTCGACTGACCATTTACTAAGGTACTGTGACAGTCCTTGAGTAGCTACAGTCACGTCAATGTGCGATTCCCCTCTTGGGGAGCTGTAAGTGGGGCCTTCTTCAATTCTATTGAGAACTTCCAGACCGAATTCGGTAAGGAAGTTTGCAAGCTTTTCCCCTCTGGTATCGAAGTCTGGTGACCACAGAGGATATCGGGCGTTCGCATCCATACAGATAAGAACTTGCTTGCCTCTAAGGGTCGTTAGGATCTTTCTTAAGTGTCCGATATGAATTTCGATTGGGTCCTTATGTTGAAAGTAGTGTGAGATAGCGTAGAACGCATATCCAAGCCCTTCAATGAGGGCACACGTACAGTGTGCAGTGCTTAGTAGAGATGTGAATCGGTAATTGACGGGTAAATTTACCGTAAATTACCGGTAAAAAACGCGTCAATGACCAAGCCTGTTTTACCATACCGGTCAGAAAAATGCTGATCTCTGATTGGTTAATACATGTCCAATCACAGTTTAGAATTCCCAACGGCATACAACTGTTTATTTGTTCTATCAGGTATATATTTTCATTTTTATTTGTTTATTAAAAATACTGATAATATTTAATATAAGAAAATTCAATTTCTAGATAAGGATTTTCATTGAGAACTTGGTGCAATGGGGGAGAACAAATCAATATATAAACATTTCTCTGCATTACCTCTGCAACCTAACCAAAAATTAAAATCGTATTCATGTAACTATTGCAAGAAAAAGTATGCAGAAAACATTACTCGCATGCGAAAACATCTTTATAAAGAGTGTAGAAGTTGTCCTCAAGACTTACGGAAACTTTTAAAACCATGTAAACCTCGTAAACGAAATAATTCTCATCTAAACAGCACAGACGACTCATTTACTATTGAAGATTTGAATGAAGCAGACAATAGAGCAAGTACTTCAATGATTTCAAATGAAAATTTACCAAATTTTATTGTAACAACCCCAGCGCCAGTTTTTTTCAAAACATTTCCAACTGGAACCGAATCACAAACTGCCTTATAATTTGTACAGATAATTGTGCTGCAATGAAAAGTGCTTGGACTTTGATAGATCAAAAGTATAATGTCGACAAATTGTATTGTTATGGTTGTGCTGCTCACATTCTTAACCTACTTTGGTGACAAGTGCAACAGCTATTGTAAAAGGAATAAAAGAAGTACAAATAATGTCAGCGATTTTCAAAGAAATTCAATCTCAAGATGAACGTAGAGTATTTATTACCTTAAAATTACCAGCTAAGACAAGATTTGGATCTACTATAATTATGATTGACAGTCTTTGTGTTAATAAGCATAATCTTCAGGCTTTAGCAATTTCTTCAAAGGCTATTACATTATGGAAACCTGCTTCTCGTGCTCTTGTACTAAATGAAGAATTTTGGAATAATCTTCAACAAATTCTTCAATTGATGAAACCGATTGTAAAGTGGATAAATATTTTAGAGGGTGATAACCCTTTAATTTTCTTATAAAGAGATTTTTGAAGAAATTTTTACAAGTACCATGGCGTACTTTTATAGGTACGTATTGCTTTCTAAAAAAATTAAAAAAAAAGAAAAACAGAGAACATGTTGGGCAAGCCTAACACGCTCCCTTGCCCACATCACAGGAGCCACAGTGGAGGGGCCGGTCAAGGCCTCGAGGAACACATTTGTAAACTAGAAAACCAAAGGATGAATCCTCGTTTACGACCAATCAAATATGGAAGATGAAATAACCTTCGCAGTATCGTCTTACGATGTTTCCGGAGGAAGGACGGACTTCCGGAAAGCGGTCTACATGCGATTCTCTAGCCACCCCCGTGGATTAGATCATCACACCCCGCACTGGCGGACGACTGTGGCTTGGGTTATTAAGAACTCAATACCAACGTGCCTTCTTAAGAGATCTACGATATGACAACAAGGCAGCTCAGAACTCTCCGGGGGTAGGGGCACGCTAGATCGTCCGTGCCCCGAGAGAACCTTACTACCCTGCTTCAGCTTTCAATCTCCGCATGTTTTGATATTTGTTCTTGTCTCACTCGATTGGTCTAGTATTATGGCAGGGACCAGCTGACCTCTTGTGGTGACAGCCTGCGATCGAGGGCATGGTTTTGGATCCATTTGTTTGCCTCTTTTTTTGCTCATGTACGGTGTATGAGTTGTGCCAAAAGTTTTACATTCATTTCTTTATATTTATTTATTTGACTACTTTCTTAATAATTTCTGACTGACTACCGTTTCTGCCATGATACTTGGTGTCATTTGTAAATGGCTGAAAAATATGTTTGCAATTGCATTGCCATTCTTTCTTATCGCATTCTCTCTTCAAGTACATTTTCTCCCACACACACACACACCTGTAAAGGACACCACATCAAGGCGGAGCCTTGATTGTGGACATATAGGAGGTAGTGGTAGTGGTGGCTCTTAGCCTCTGTCCCGTTATAATAAGGGCAGAGTTACCAGGTATACCCACGAGGAGGGGTCCACCTCTATACCCGAGGTTATCATCAATATCAGAATAGTAAATCACTATGCGAAATTCTCTGTAATCCCACACAACCAATTCGGCTTTAAAAGAGGGCACTCCACCTGCCACGCCATTCTAAAGCTCTTAGCGGACATTATGCTCCATTTCGGGGACAACAAGTTAGTCGGGGCCATTTTGATAGATGTGGAAAAAGCTTTTGATTCAGTCTGGCAAAGTGGTCTCATTTATAAATTACTAAAGAAAAACTTTAGCAACCGTATGCTAATTTACGACCTAGGAAAAATGCTTCTATTTATTGTTAAACTTGACACAAAAAATTGTGTTTTTTGAACATAGACAGTGTTCGTCCGGGCGGTCGGATGTTTATAGTAGGCCGTAACATTACATGATATATTTAATGAAACGAAATTTCCACGCGTCTTCCAAAGATTAAGCTTATTGCTGCAAACAATTTTTTTTTCATTTCGTTCCTTAGTTTCTTAATTTTACGTTACTATGGATGGCCATGACTGTACTTGGGAAATTTTTCGGTGCATTTTTGTGTTATCTCTTCAACCAATGAAAATGCATGTTATAAATTTTTTCCATCCCCTACTACTTAAAAAACAATTTGAAAATCTTCTTCTTGAAGTAGAGCAGAAAAATTTCATCATTTGTTCTATGACGTTCACGGAAGCATATTTAAATCAAAAGTTTTGAGCGTCCTAAAAACGAATTTTGAGTGGACTATTGAATCAGTTAAAGTCGATTATTGATTTACTATTCGTGAATTGATAAATATTGGTGACTGATTTAAAAATTAACTAGTTGTTATCAGTGAATTGATAGTGAACTCTTAGACATCAAAAAAGATGAATAATAAAAAACGGCAAAAATACTCCAGTGAAGCCTTAAGCAATGCTTTAAAGGACATTCAAAGAGGTCATATGTCAATTAGGAAAGCTTCTGAGGCATTTAATATACCCAAGACAACTCTAATTGACAAACTAAAAAATAAATATACCAAGCAAGACGGTATCGGTGCTCTAACAATTCTGACTCGCGAAGAAGAAGTATATATTGTCAATTGGATAATAGAAATGGGGAAGAGAGGATTTCCCGTTACTAATAATCAACTCGTGGAATCTGTAGCCAAAATAATTGAAAAACTGAATAGACCACATCCTTTTAAAACGGAATACCTGGAGTAAAATGGGCGAAGTCTTTTCATAAACGTCATCCCCAAATTTCCACAAGAATTTGCCGATAATTAACAGCTTCAAGAGCCGCTGTAACTGAAGAAGCAATACGGAGTTGGTTTAACCGTGTTGAAGCTTATCTCGTCGAAAATAACAACTTGGATATTCTACAAGACCCACGTAGAATTTTCAATAGCAACGAAAGTGGGTTTTATCTGTCCCCAAAAGAGCAATTCGTTCTTGCTAAAAAAGGAACTCGAAAAGTGTATTCCAGGATTTATAACGACGAAAAAGAGTTTTTGACAGTTTTGATGACAATCAGTGCTGATGGAAACATGCAACCTCCAATGGTTTTATATCCATATAAGAATAGGATACCATCAAATATCCACAGTAGCTACCCACCAGATTGGGGAATTGGGCGATCAGAATCTGGCTGGATGACCAGTGAAGTTTTCTACGAGTTAGTTATATTTCGTCGATGGACACACATCTTACTTAAATATTCATCTACTTGAATTTTGTAAAGAGAAAGGCATTATTCTTACTGCTTTCTACTCTAATGCTACTCATCTATTGCAGCCGCTTGACGTAGGAATTTTCCGACCACTCAAAAATGCATGGAAAACACATATTACCAATTGGCGCATGAAAAACTGCGGCCAAAAATTGAAAAGAGAAGAATTTGCTCCAATTTTGAAGGCAGCCATAGAAACAGCAGTCTCGAAAAAAGTTGTTGTCAATGCTTTTCGCGGTTGTGGAATATATCTTTTTGATCAACATTCAGTGAATTATGAAGGTGTATTGAAATCGAGTGATAAATGTAATATAATTATTGCAGAAGACAATGCAAATGAGAAAAATCGAGACGAAAAGAATGAAGATGAAATTACTGATGCTCAAGTACTTTGTGCAATAGAAAAACGTTTGGATCCATTGCTGCTTCAGAAATTCAAAAATTCTGGTGATAAATGGACTGATCAGCTAGAATATCAAGGACTGTTTGAATTTTGGAGAAGATTACACTACCACGATAATAATCAAGATACTTTGACAGTTAACCTTCCAGCACATATTAATATTGACAATAATTTATGGGTAGAAGATTCTATTAATGGTGCCGTTGATGAGAATGTAATAGTTTACCTCGAAAATGTTCTAGATCATCAAATAATGGAGAAAACACCCAAAAAATCATCAAAAGAAAATGGAAAAAAGTTAATAAAAAATTCCTATCACCTTTTAAAATAATTTTCTACTTCCCAGATGCAAACTCAAATAAAAAAAAGGCTTCAGAAACACCACTAAATCCTAAAAATATTAAAAAAAGTAGGATGACCCCAACAGTAGCTGTAAATGAAGAATATGTAAATCACCAAAAACAACTGTACGAAGAAAAACAGAAGAAAGAAGCCATCCAATTAGAGAAGTTAAATAGAAGAACAAGTAGAAAAGTAAAGACTCTGGATAATTCAGATACCAACAATAAAAGTGATTCTGCGTGTAATGATGAAAATATTGACTTGAATCATTTGTCTAATATTAATGATTGTGATGTAAGACATAGTGATGTAAACTCCGGTTTAGTTTTTGAAAAAAATAGTGATTCATATTCCCCAGGTGACTATGTGATCATAAAGTACGAAGGCGAGTATTTCCCTGGAATAATATGTTCGATACAGACCGATCAAATAAAAGTGAAAACTATGGGTATGAGTGGCCACAATTGGAAATGGCCAGAAAAAGATGATATACTAGAATATATAAAAACAGAAGTGATGTGCAAAATTAAAGTTCCTCAGCTTATTAACAATCACGGAATATATAAAGTACCTGAAATAGGTCGTGTCAGAGCAATGAAATATTAAAAATAGTATATAATAATATTCAAATTTATTAATGTTATGATTATCAAGTATATGTTAGAATTAATATTGTAATAATTTTATTTTTACAAATAAATTTTAAATTTTATGGCAATTGACATGTAAAGATTTTAAATTAAAAAAAGGTCCTGGTCGGTATTCGGGCTATGGATAGTCGGTTTATGGAAACGGGCAGTTTGGTGGTCGTTAATGGGCTCATTGTCAAGTTTTGAGAGGGACTTGCTTAAAACTATTTTTTTAATATTTCTCATCAATAAAAGTTATTAACAATAATGAATAACGATTCATTGACCTTTTTTGAAATTTAAAGTATCGGTTAATTTTAATTTTCTGCTTTCATTTCCTTAATATAATCAAATTGAACATCAAAAACCTGAGATGGTCGGTA